CCCCCTCCTTTCCCCCGAGGGTCGCAACGCTGATACAGGGACCTTCCATTATTTCGGCCCCCTTCTCCGCCTACGCCACTTCTCACTCGTAGGCGCCGTAAGTTATCGCTTTTTTTGCGGTGTAGCGCCATAGGCCATTGAGCCCGGCTGTGCCAAGAGCTGCTCTACAAATCAAAGGCGTGACAACCGAAACGCTTTTGAAGCGAGTGAGAAAGCCCAACAACTCAGGTGCTCGGCCCGTGTGTGTGAGCGCGCGCGTCTGCGTGTTGTGTGTGATTAGGGAAAATAAACAACGGCGTTATTATGTTTTGCGACAAATCGCATTACGGTTGACGACAAGGAGTGAGCGAGCGAGCACTGCATGTGTCCGAAGAACGCATGTGTCATTGTGACGGCGGACAGGCTACATAGTCACACACGATCCTTTCTCAACTCAACATTTAGCCAGGCTGTGTTGCTCTGTTTTCTCCATTACTTCCTGCCTCTGTGGGAGTGCCCCCCCCCCCTCCTATCCCGCTTTTCTTTCTCTCTCCCTCAACAAGCTGGACTTGTATGCCCAGTCGCCACTCCACGCCCCAGCAGGGCATATTTAGCTACCACGCACACAAGAGGTCGGCTAGGGCGGCCGCAGCGACGCCCAGGATCCTTCATTAAATAAAATATCCACCCAAGAAGATTCTTCGGCGCAAAGGTCAGGGAAGCTATTGTTTCTTTTTTCGATTCCCTTGTTTTCGTTAATTGCAATGAGAAACCGATACCCGGATCGCTATACTGTATATTTATTACGATCCCATTGCGACATTTCCTTGTTTACTTCCAAAGAAGGCGATACTACGAATCACGAGAGCGAGATTTTTATTTCAAGGAATGAAAGTCGCGAGCAACAGGCTGCTTGCGTGTGATTGGCGAAAGCAGCCGTCCCGTCTTTTGACTCGATTACATTCGGACGGCCTTGACTTGACAGTGTGTCATTGCCAGCAATACGCGCGCGCTCTCTCTCTCTCTCTCTCTCTCTCTCTCTCTCTCTCTCTCTCTCTCTCTCACACACACACACACACACACACACACGCGCGCGCGCATAGGCACGCACACACACACAAACACTGGCTATTACAGCAGAAGCAGGCCTGGCGCCTGGTGTTTCCCGGGTTCGTTCACTCGTACACAAACGAGGGGTCAGTCAACGACTCGAGTACTAGCACTACCTAAATCTGGTCCAGTGTAATAGATTATTTTTTTTTTTTTAGCAGGATATGTTGTACCAGCGGCTTACAATTTCTAAATTTTGTTGTTGTTTTTTGCGATGCGCCAAGTAGTATGCGTAAGCGGTTTGATCGTATAAACTGGGAATTGCACACAGATTGTGGAAGAGCCAACACTACTTGATTTATCAGTGTAGTCATTTTATGTGTTTGGCGGTTGTGACAGTGTGCCACTGCCTCTTTGTGTGGCTATGGGCTCGCCAGCGTGTGTGGTCGGGGCCTCGCGAGCCTCGCCCCTGGCAGCGTAGCGCCTCGTGCGGAGCTCAGAGCCTCGCTCAGCGCCGCTGTCAGGCGCGGGCCGCGGCGACGCCGGGAAATATCACGCCTTGTTATCCGTTAAAATATCGTGACGGTTCGTTATTCGTTTGTCAGCCCGGCCAGTCAGCCAACGAGTGTGTTGCTGTCCAATAGCGGTCCAGAGCCGTAACGTAAGAGTAAATGTACCCGTCCGCGGGGCACTTCTGTGGAAGGTCTACATGGTCGCTGTGAAAAATGTATTATAGAATGTACTCTTGAAAGGACGAAAAGTACACCCTCAAATTTCTACTAGGCTTTTGTCACTGTAAACTTGTTGACATCGTAAAATGTCCATTTTAGAAACGTGTTTCCTCTCTTCAAGAAGATAAAGCTCGTGTATCGTAGAAATGTGTCGGTAATTTATGGACAAAATGTTAACACTTCAGCTGTGTATACCCCTTTGTAGCCCGAGGAGAAATTTTGCCAAATGTGCACGACAAATAAACCCATAGAGGATAGTGATTCATATAGGATAGGAAAGTAATGAACGCATTCACCATATAGTCCAGTCTGCTGCGCTTCACGTGTGTTAACGCGTCTCATATTTCACAGGCGGTCGGGACGCTCAGACCCCCCGCGTAATGCTGGACTTGATTGACGCGCGCTGTGCGGCCGTGTCATTACTTTGCCCTATTTTTTTATTTTTTTAGAGACCATCGAAATGATGTTCCTTTTTTTTGTATGTGTGTGGTACGTGCGAGGCTCAGGATGAGCTCACACTGGCCGCTGCTGCTGTCGCGGGGTGCAAGCTCAGAAGAGCTTAATGATTTTTCACAGCTCCGACATTTCCCAACGCGACAGTAAAATGCTAAACAATAACGCAGACCCACGCCCTTTTCATTTAACACGTTGAGTCCCACGTGACCACACGTATGGTCACAATAACACGGGGTTCTTACCCCCCCCCCCTGGGACTTGACGTGTTTTTAGGCCTGGTCGGGCCTGGGTTATTTGCCGTGATCAAGTGTATGAATATGGGATTGTGCGTATCATAGTTCAATCGCACTATACATACTACTCTGACCTGACAGATGCATCACCCCCCTTCCCTACTCTTTATCTATCTCTCTCTCTCCCTTCCTCCCTCCCTCCCTCCCTCCCTCTCTCCCTCCCTCCCCCCCTTCCTCCCCCTCTCCCTCCCTCTCTTCCTCCCTCTCTCCCTCCCTCGCCGTCGCGGTGGATGGCACGGAACGTCATGACACGGCGGCGCAGGGAAGTCTCGTCTTTGTCAATAATTCCGTTTCCGCCTCCGGGCCGCGCAGTTTATTTAGAAGCCTTCACTCACTTGACGTTGGCCTCGGCCGCGTACGTACCGGGTGTTGCAGAAAAGACACAGGTGCGGGCGGGTTTGCCTATCCTCGACTCGGTGGGCGCACGGGTCCATGACTGGGGAGAGGTGAGGAGGGGACCCGTGCGCCCGCCGAGTCGAGGGTAGGCAAACCCGCCCGCGCCTGTGTCTTTTCTGCAACACCCGGTACATAAGTCTGCTCGGGCGGCGGGCCGGTCCAGCCTGAGCCTCCGCGCCATTCGCTCTGCTGCGGAAACATTCAGACGCCTTTTCACTCACGCTCCGGCTGCGCCGCCCTCTCTGCCTGGAAAAAAGTTAATAAAACGTATGGAAATGAATAAAATTAATTTTAAAAAAGGGGGTCAGGGAAAAAATTGTGGCCAACGGATTCCTCTACGAACGTGTGCGAAATGAGGCATACCGTGCAGTAACGGTATATACGCGTGATAACATGTTTCTAATTCAGGACTTTGGTTTTTGTCAGGCCATTCCGTGGTGCCCGTCCGCAAAAGAAAAGTGCTAGACTGCGCAGTGAGAGAGGGTCAGTCTTTCGTCTCTCTCGCACCTGACCGACCGCGTGTATACCTACCACTCAGACGCCTTTTGTCTCCATCAGCTGCAGAAGTAATTGATGGCCGGCCACTATGACCGGCAGGCGGCGTAGCAATGGAGAGAGGCAGAACAAATGGGGGGCGCGGCACGACATCTCTCTCTCTCTCCTTCTAACTCGCTCCCTC